CTCTCCCAATCCTCAATCAGAAGTAGGTACTGTAGGTGCACCGTACTTCCAGACCGATCCGAGAAAAGTACACCTCCAAGCAGAGATAGAGCATAAGCTCGTGCAAACTGCTCTATAACCTCCTGTGATGCATTCTCCGGCAGATGACTGAATTCAACCCTTAGCCAAACAATCCTAACAACAGCGACACTGCCTACAAGATCGGCCGGAACTCATCCCAACAGTCTCAAACAGATCGCCGACCACTCCTCATCCGGTATATCAACTACGACGGCATCACCGTCGATCGCCAGACCGGACAGTGTAACAACGTCCTCTAACGTGATCGTCATCTCACCACACGGTAGATGGAAGGTCGACGTCTCGGGGCGCGACCGCTCTACGAGCGCAGTAATCAAACTAGCATCGGGGTTCATAGGGACTAGGGGCACGACACTAAACAAGCCTGCCGCTTCGAGATATGGCCGATAAAGCTCATGGTAAGGTACTAAAATGGTCGTAAGCTCATGATAAAGCTCTGGGACGGTGCTGCGGGCGGCGGTTCGGGGTTGGGGTGGAGGAAGAAGAAGGAGGGAGAGGGGTCTGCTGGTTCGGGGTTGGGGGGAGGAAGAAGAAGGGAGGAATTGTGGTGGTGGGGAGGGGATAAGGTGGGAGGGCCCGTCCAAAATTTAAAAAAAATTAGTCCGGGGCGCTCCCGCCTGAGTCTCGGGCGCCAGCGCCTCAGACTAATTAAAAAAATTTGTCTGAGGCGGGGCCGCTTGAGACTGGGGCGCCGGCGCCCAGGACTGGGTAAAAATTTAGTCCCGCCTGAGTCTCAGGTGGTCCCGCCCCAATCCTTACTAAAAACCACAATATCTCTGTAAATAGTTTTTAATTGGCCATATTCGTGGTAAATTAAAAAAAAAACTATATTTCTGTCATTTATCCAAATTTATCACTCTTGTTATAGGCGTTTGTTAGCAAGTTCACTTGATTAGTACGATATTGTCTGTTTTGGGCAAGTTCACAAAAACTTCGAGTATCACTTGATTAGTGACATAAACGAGAACTAGTTGGTTTCAATAGCTCAATTTGTTGAGAGAGTTGCTATAATAGATTATGTTGAGATCGAATGTCTCAATTAGTACGATATTGTTTGCTTTGGGCAAGCTTACAAAATTTACTTTTAGGTATACTCTCTAAAAACACTCGTACTAATTTAACTAGGTGGTCATTAATATCAGCACTGGCTATTTGGTCCAGAATGTTTGGTTTTACCCGAAACCAGACCGTAAAACTCGGACCGGGACGGGACCGGATAGCAAATAATCCAATCTCATATTCAGGCTTTGATTTGAGGTAAAAAACCGTTTAAGAACTAGATAAGAGACCCCAACACCCAAAACTTAACCAACTCCTTACCCTTTGAGGCCTCAAACCACTCAAATCCCCACAAGCTCAATCTAAAATTAAAATTGAATTGGGACCGAACCGGATTAAGACCGGACCGGATCAAGACCGGATTGTATCCAATTCAATCTTTGGTCCTTATATTCTCGAAAAGACCGGACCGGGACCGGATCAATTCAGGCCAATTTAACCGGGCCGGACCGTGTAGCCACCCTTAATTAATATAAGGGTCCATTCCCTGGTATTTCTTATACGGTACTTGAATTGTAGGGTTGGGATAAGGGTCCATTCCCTGGTATTTCTTATACGGTACTTGAAGTAGGGTTGGTAACCGGTATCCCGGTTAACGATTTCACCGAAAAACGAACTAGTAACCGGCGGTTATCGATAAAACCGTTAACGGTGGTACTAGTTGGCGGTAGTCACAAAACACCTCACGGTATACCGACTCCTTTCCGGTAAATTACCGGCGGTTACTCGGTATACCGGATATCCGAAATCAGATTATAACCAGACACCAAGCTGCCTTCCTCTACCACTCTCACGCCGCGCCGAACCCATCTCCGTCTTCTCTTCTTCCTACCCTTCTGCCACTGCCACCGACGAACAAGTTTGGAAAACCCAGACCGCCAAATTATTTTCTTCCCCATCTTTCTCACCTTTCAATCCACCAAAATCCCCAAATAACAGTAACAATTAACCAATAATAGGAGGTCCAAGGGATACAACAACTCAAAATTGAAAAACCCAAAATTGAATGAGAATCTACTGGATTGAAGATTCACAGCTTGAAGCTTCTTCTCCGCTTCTTCGTTGTATCTGGCCGTGATGATAACGAAGAGGCCGGAGCTCAAAATTGGAGAATAGTGGTGGGACTGCCGTGTCCAACCTGTCTTCTTTTTTCCCGGCAACGTCTCCGTCTTTGTCGCCGCCGTCGTTCTTCTCCTGCCCAGAAAGAAACCATACCATGGGTTTCTAAATCATTAGAGTTTCAATTGAATTGAACACTAGAGAGGGCAGGGGAGAGATAACCCACCTGGCGACCCAAGCGAGGAGGAAGGCGAGGGAGACGCCGTGGCGGTAGTCGGTGATAATTTCTGGGATCTCGCCGATGCCCCAGCAACCAGGTAGAGTCTCACTCACGAATAGGGATGGCAACTTTGCCCATACCCATGGGTTTCTTACTATCCAACCCAATTGGGTTGGGTATGAAATCTAAATAGATGGATATGGGTAGAGTTTGATGGGTTTGTACCCATACCCATTTACTTTGGGTTGAGTTGGGTTTATATCAAATGGATTTGGGTTTGTACCCATGCCCAAATACAAATTACAGTTTGGTACCCAAACTTAATAGACATGCATATTTAGTACCTAAATTTAATTTTTTTGCATATAAGTCCTCAAAATATTGATGGAAAATTACGTTTTGGTACCTAAATTTTTTTGGTATTACATTTTGGTACCTAAACTTTTCAAGTTTTGCAAATAGGTCCAATTTTTGCATGTGTAGTTAAAACACCCTCAAGTAAATGGATATCCATATCCAACCCATACCCATTTAAATTATGGAAGCCCCAAACCCACACCCATCTATAAACCCCCAAATCCATATGCACTTCACCCATACCCAACCCATTATCAATGGGTCTACTTGGGTTTGGGTATAATTACCCATGGGTGGGTAATTTGCCATCCCTACTCACGAAGGACCATGCCGATTGTCGAGTCTCCTCTGCCGCCTCGCAAGTCGCGACCTCGCTCCAAATCAGAAGCAAAAGCATCATCATCCATCGCCATCGAACCACCCCAGCTCGTCGGGCGACATGCAGCATACCCAGGTCAACCTCCGACAACCCACCACCAACCTGGACCCTTGATCAATTTTTTGTTCCGCTAGGTTTGATCGGAATGGATGCGGAGAGAATAGGGTTTCTCGCTTCCATTGATGTTGCCTCTGCAGAAAGACGAGGCGAGGGCGGAGATTGTGGACAGAAAGAGGGAGACGAGAGTGAGAAACAAACAAAGGATTGGATATGATGGAGGTGGATTGCACGAGGAAGGAGATGAGGGATGCAGAGGCGATTAGAGAGGTGGGTTGATTTGCACAAATAAAATAAAAAAAGAAATAAGTGGGCAGCGACACAGGCAGATAGATTCGGTAAGGGTGTTATCCGGTTGTTAACCATTAACCGGTTTCCTCCCGGTACCGATAGTCAGCAGTCCTGTGGATCTAAACGGTATACCGATAATCGGCTAACCGGTAATCGATCGATTACCACCCCTATTGAATTGTACCATAAAATTCTTCCCTCTCAAAGACAAGGACCACAAACTCTCTGTATTCTTCTTAGAAGTTATCTTGATTCGCCGGACACCTTGTATCGATACTATTTGACACAAGAATTTACCAGAAGCATATATCCACTCGATCTGCCAGAAAAACACATATCTTCTTTAATCTTCCAAACAAACGCATATCACCACTTGATCTGCCAAACAAACACAAATCCCAACTTCACCACATGAGGGTCCACTGTCACGAATCTATATAGAACCAATCTCTGGTACAACTTGTCGAGACTGAATAGCTACATTAGTAGCATATTGTCTGCTTTGAACCAAGCACGCACGAATTTTGCGTTTGAGTATCCTCCGCAAAAGGCATCGCACTAATTGGGTTAGGTTGACAATGATATACAAGAATGCCCCACAAATTTCGTTTCCTTCCCTGAGCCTCAGCGGTTATGTTGATCTGCCAAACACCTCGTATCACTTTGCTCGATTCAAGGATTTACCAGATACAGATCTCCTTGGATCTGCCGGACAAACACATATCTCAAATACCGAGGTCGCCAAATTAGGTCAATCAAACTGATGTCTCGTCCCACATTTGAATCAGACTCTGATACCACTTATCAAGACAAGATAAGGTAGCTCAATTAGTATTATATTGTTCGCTTTGTACCAAACTCGCATGAATTTACTTATAGAATAGCTCAATTAGTACAATATTTCCAATTTGATAGTTGGATTGTCCCGTTTTATACAATCCCCTTACATCAACATCAACGAAATCCATCGTGTTTCCTCCAACCTGTTCACCAAGCCGCTCTCTAATCTCTCCCGCGCCTTGCATTCGCTTGCAACACAGAGTTTCTACCAACGGAGAGAAGCTCATTGCTCGTTTGTTTGGATCACTTACAATGCAGGATTCCATACCGAGCAAGAAGCTGGCAATTGCAGGCTCTCTTATCTTGAAATCAGTGAGTTCAAGCCGAATTGTCACAGATGATTACAAACAATAATGGAGAAGCAGCAGATGTATCAGATTTGGCCCATACACAATTTCGGGTTGAGTCCCTCTCAGTCTTGCAACTTTCCAAGTTCCAAGAACCTACACACTGTGACAAGACGAAGAGTGGCTGCCAGCCAATTTGGACCCAATATGTGTCGTCATTGTTCATCATTATGCATTTTACAACTTTAATCGACCCAATGGAACCAGCACAGCAGCAACGTGGGGAAGAACAGATCAGGGGAAACTGGTAAAAGGGAAACCCAAATCAATAGTTTATAAAAGTGCTCTGCTCTGTTCTCCTCTGTTCCCCCACTTAAAACTCAATTGATTATATTTGTAAACACAGACATACATAATTTCACAATTCACCAACTCTGACATCTACAATATTCTCCTCCGCTGGGGAAAATTCCAAAAAGAAGTGGTAACACAGTAAGACTAGTAAATTAGAGGGAGCAAAAGGCTACTTTGTAGCCGAATTCAATCCGTTGTGTGAAAAAGAAGAAAGAAAAAAGAAACACACTGATAACGAAAAAAGAGGTAAAAAGGAAATAAAAAATAATAATACAGGGGAAATTAAAAAAAAAAAGTCATACCAATAAATACAATAATACTGTACAAGACGGTGGCAGAGAAGATAATAATATCCGCAACCCACCACCGCCACCGCCTCCTCCAGCTGCCGATTTAATATCTTCCCTGATACCCGGCGGGGACGACAGGTGCGACGGCTGCGCTTCCGTATCGGGGGATTTCTCCGGTGACAACGAAGCCCTCGGCGGGTCGGCTGATTTCCCCGGCTTGCTCCCCATCGAAATCGGATTCTTCCCGAAGATTTCCTTGGGCAGCAGAACATTGGAGACCCCGAAAATCGCGACGGGGTTCTGATCGAACACGGTCTGGGTCACCGACGCTTGGACAATCCCCGAATTGATCGCCACCGAGCCGTTGACCCGGGAAATGTTGAGCGTGTACCGGCCGGCCCCCATGTCCTCGGTCGCCAGCGTGGGCTGGACCGGGTTCACGATCGACTCCAGGGACCCGAGCGGGTAGTAGGAGTGGAGGACGTGGAATTTCAGCACCACCGCCTTCTTCTCCGCCGGCAGCGACTGCAGGCTCACGGTCCCCGGCAGATCTGCGAAGGCCGCGTCGGTGGGGACGAACAGGGTGATCCCTGCGCCGCCCTCGTCTGCCTCGAATTCCTCCACCACGCCGGATGCCGACAGCATCGACGCCGCGACGAAGAAGTTGTGGCCGTCAATTAGGGCTTTTGTGATGTTTAACCCCAGGGGAGGGCGGGTCTCGGAGGCCATTAGATCGAAGCCGTAGGGGACGAGCAGCGAATTGACGGAGACGATTGTGAGATTGTAAGGGATGGTTTTGACGAGGGAGAGGACGGTGGCGTTGGAAGGGGAGTAGGCGGCGGGGGAGTGAATCGAGACGGCGTTGGTGGCCGGGTTCCGGGTCACGTTGACCGAGCCGAAATTGGAGGGGGCCCGACCCGTGGTCTGGTAGAGCGTGGTGACGAGGAGGCCCGCGGGGGGCACGCGGCGGAGGTCGGACCAGGAGAAGAACTGGAGGAGGATGTGGTAGCGGAGGAGGTCGGCGAGGGCGGTGGGGGAGAGGCGGCGCGTGACATCGACGGAGGAGGAGAAGTAGGCGTTGGGGACGGCGAGGAGGGTGATGGAGGAGCGGTGGGCGATCTCGTTGGCGAGGGAGGGGGTGGAGGAGAGGAGGGCGGTGAAGGAGGAGAAGTCCGGGTAAGGGGAGAGGACGGACGCGATGTCGATTGAGGCCGCGGCGGGGATTAAAACGGCGAGGAGTAGGAAGATTGGTGTAGATCGGGAATGGAGAATGGGTGGCGGAGGCGCCATTGGGTGGTGGTGGTGGAGAGAAGTGGGTAATAAATGAGCGGTGGGTGGGTGGCTCCGCCGCGGAGGACGGCGGTGGGGGTGGAAGAGAGGGGCAGAGGAGGAAGTAGCAGTGGAAGTGAGAGTGTGAGTGGGAAGTGAGAGATAGAGAGAGTGTGCGGACGGAAAGCCTCGATGGATGGATGGATGTTACAGCAAATTGTTTTTTTTCTTTTTCTTTTCGTAAAATCCCTTTTTTCATTTTTTTTTTCTTTTGATGAGATAAATTAATTAAATGAACATTTATTTTTGGTGTCTGATGCGCTGCAGAGTAACATTAATAACAAAAAAAAATTGTATTTTATTGAATACCTGTTCATTATTTTAATTTCGAAAAAAAAAACGATTTCATTTTATTATTAATTTATTATAATAAGAAGCAAGTGGTGTTGTGGGATGATGAGCTGTGGAATATGAATGTTGATAGCCACTCGCACGGTGGTGGGGGGATTGGATGACGTCAGCGGAGAGGGGGCAGTGGCAGCAACAGCAGCGGGGGGATTTGGATTTGGCGTTGGCGTTGGCAATGTGATGAATTAAAAAAAACCCTAATTTTTCGATTTGATTTTGAATATTCCGACAGGAAAGAAAGCGTTAATTCGCTCTCACCACGTTACTACAGGATGGGATTAGGTGCTAATCCTTATAGGGGTTAGCACCGTGATAACTAGCAAAAAATGCTACTAAAAACAATGAAATCACTACGAATTATTATAAAATCAATACAACATCTAAGCTAAATCACTACTAATTCAAACTAGTAATAGTTTTTTCCTTGGTTAGGACACTGCTAATTATTGTACAATTAGCACCGTAGCCGTTCCCCGTTACTACCTTGTGTTAGTTTAGTGCAGTAACAATCGATGAACCTAAAAATTGTCGCTTCTCTTGTTTTTCTTTTTAGGAGAGGCAAAGAATGGTAAACCTTAAGATGTGTTTATTGGTTAAAAACTTGCAGTAATAGTAGAGCCATCAGCAATAGTAGCTTTTAGATGAGTTTATAGGAATGTCCTAGACGAGAAGGGTGTGTCGCGTCAGATTTTGATAAGTTTCTGGAAGGCGTTCTTGTCAAGCCTGCAACAAAAGGATCTTAGGCAATTGTCTGGGACATTTGTCGATGCCTAAGTTAATGAATGTAGAAACTAGTGTAGTGAGTGAAAGAGTAGTTGAGTTACCATTTAATGTTGTTTGAGACTATTTATACCATATTGGAGGTAACTCGAGTACTAAATGCAGTGTCAGGAGTCTTGTGCGCATCTTTTCTGATAGAGACTGCCTCCGGCGTCAATAAATGTTGGGTTAGCCAGGTATCAAAGTTTGTATCTTTGAGATACTCTTGCCTCGATAACCAACGGATATAGGCGTTCTCCTTTGTGAGGCGCCCTACGGATGTTCTATCCTCTAGAGGCTGCTTTCGATGGCAATTAATGTTATGTCCCCGACTCCCGATGTACAATGCTAGGCGATTCTATCATATTAAGCCTTTTTGGTTGTCTTCGACTTTTCTGCGTGCTTGGGCCTCCCGGCCTAACTAAGCTCACTTTGGGTCTGACATTTTCCCCTTAGATGAGAGTGGGTTTTTGCTGCTACTTAGTTGATCTTCATTTAGTGAGCGGCCTTTTAGGCCTAGAGCCCAAGGACGTACTATCTTTCCCCAGACAGGGAAAGTGCATGAAGAGGACTGGCTAAGGTTAAATACCGCCTTCATTTTTTCAAAAAGACCGCCTCCACACATGTCGCTCATCAAGCGAGAAACCCATCATAGGTAACCTCAACATTCACTTCAATTTTGAATTTCAAATCCCTCTATATAGGGTCTTATAGGGCAAGTACCCGGTCACGTTGCTGATTCCCTTATCTTTTCTATCTTTAAAAAGACAATTCTCTCTTCTATATCCGTAAGCTCGTTTTCTTTTTTTCTCCGTCATCTTACTTTAGTCAGTGTCATATTCTCTCTTTATTTTTTGTCGCGATTTTTCTAATTGCACAACCATAGCTCGTTGCTTCATGTTCTCTCGTTCCTCTTTCCTTCACAAACATCCAAAGATGCCGAGCAAGGCAAGCAAATCCAAAAATGGCCGCGCGGTAACATCTTGTATGTTTGCAAAGACCATCCAGAAGAACACTACTATCGCTCCTGCTCCCTAGAATTCTCCACTGGAGGGAGGTAACTCTAGCGGGCCCTCTGTCGGGAACACCCTAACCGCACAAGGTATGCTTGACATCTCCTCTCGCCCAAAGCATTTTCAATTATAAATTAAACTTAGATGGGGTGTATATAGGTTTTGGGGGCATTTTTTCTAACCCCAGTCTTCTAGGGGTAGCACAGACTGCATTGTATTAGCCTACCACCTCAGTAGGTCTTAGAGCTTTTTCTTCCACACCCGAGGATAATTTACGCGCGTTTGATGTTGTGGTTGTGGAAAGCACTTCTTGGAGTTGAGCAGTGAGGCTACGCATTCGGATTCGTTGCGTTGTAGCTCCTCGTCTATATCTATTTAGTATTTACGAAGGCGCTCTGCAGCGACCGTTTCAAACAGTGGAGGATGACATATATTATCTTCGCCAAAACAAACATATGTGGGAAGGAGAGTATGTGTCCTCTAGAGGTGTTTGAACAGGGACCCGCCTACAAACCAATTTGATTAATCTTTTCAGCTAGTTCGTTCATGCTCCTAGCCCTGCTCACATAGCTGCAGCTAATCGGATTTTACGGTATCTCAAGTAGTGATGGCAATGGGTCGAGGCAGGGCGGGTACCTCAATACCCATGCCCCGCCCCACGCTAGTACGGGTCGGGGCGGGTAATACCCGCGCGGGAACGGGATGGGGCGGGTCGACCCACTCTTACATGCCATTTGAGAAAAATACACGCACAATTTTATTTTTTATGATAAAACGAAGGGGAAAAATACTTGATGAATGAATAATAGTGATAATATAATAAGTAATTGAGTCTATTTAGTTGAAAGATCAAATCTAAATAGTTGAATAATAGTCAAAATAGGAGATATATGAATGGATGGGGTAAATTATTGACATAGAACGTGGTAAGAATGGGGCGGGGCGGGGCAAGGCGGATCGGAAGTTGATACCCATACCCCGCCCCACGCTAATGCGGGTCGGGTAATACCCGCCCCATCGCGGGTCAGGTCGGTTATTACCCGCCGGGGCGGGTTCAAATTGCCATCCCTAATCTCAAGACTTCTCCCCATCAAGGAATTTTCTTTTCAACGTGTGGCTCGCTTACTTTGACAACTTATTGTGATGCATACTGTGATACTAATGTGAATGTGAAGGGGCTCGTCGTTATACTACTTGTTACTATATTATACTTAGTGATGCACCAGTTTCTTGGAGGACGAAGAAGCAACAAGGTATATTCTTACCAAGGCATTGGGTGCGGATCGCTTTGATTTTCTTTTGTCCAAGCTAAGCGTTTGGGATCTTCATACTCCAGTCTGGGGGGGAGGGGGGGGGACAGTGTCAAAGTATCTGGTAGTGTTAAAGTAGGTCAACCGCTTTTTAAAATTGATAGACCGCTTGCCTGAAACGGTGTACCACTTGATGGAAGTGATAGACAATTTTCTTGAAAGTGGTCGACTGCTTTGTGAAAGAGGTAGACCATTTTCTAGAAAAGTGATCTACTACACTATCAAAGAGATAGACCATTTTCTCCAAGTCACGGTAACATACAAGTCATCATCGGCATACCCAAAATATTATTAACCAAAAAAAATTAGTATAGGAATTTTAATGTTATTAGAAGGCACTGGAGCAAAAAATTGGAGGCGGAAGAATGGAGAATTCCCATATATTCACATTCCGAATATTAATCCAGGAAATTCCTACAATGCCTTGAAGTAGGGTTCCATTACGTAAAACACAATAGGCATTACATAATGATTACGTAACGAATGTGTATATTACGTAACCGTTGTAAAATCTCATTACGGAAGTTTTACGTAATAAAGGCTTCTTTTACGTAATGAATATTTACCTCGCATTACGTAAAGTGATAAGTCATTACAGAAGTCTTACGTAATGCTTCTAATTTAACAGTTACGTAAGAAATACCTGTCGTTACGGAAGTCTTACGTAATGGAGGGTCCTTTTACGCAATGAATATTAACTTTGTGTTACGTAAAGTGCTAAGGCATTACGGAAGTCTTACATAACGCTTCTGATTTAACTGTTACATAAGTAATAATTATAATTACGGAAGCCTTACGTAATAGATGTGTATTTTACGTAACAGTTGTAAATTGTCATTACAAAAGTATTACGTAATTGAGACTTCTTTTACGTAATGACTACTAGCTTTGCGTTACGTAAAGTGTGAAGTCATTACGGAAGTCTTACGTAACACTTATGATTTAACTGTTACGTAAGATATAACTATATTTATGAAAGCCTTACATAATATATGTGTATTTTACGTAACAGTTGTAAATTGTCATTACGAAAGCCTTACGTAATCGAAACTTCTTTTACGCAATGAATATTAGCCTTGCATTACGTAAATTGTGAAGTTATTTCGGAAGCCTTACGTAAGGTTTCTGATTGAACTTTTACGTAAGAAACAATTGTTATTAAGGAAGTCTTACGTAATCAAAACTAATCAAAACTCTTTTATTCTGTTAAACCAAAGTTTTTTTTTTTATTACCCAAATATTTACGGTCGCAAACAGATTTACCGTTAGGCCAAAGTTAAAATGTAGAAAAAACGCAAAGAGTAAAATCTATCTATACTTAATATTACGGTTATTCAAAAGTAACTTCTTGCCACATAAGCACTTGGTGAATTCACAAGATGCCAAGGTGGACAACTTTTTTACAAACAAAAATTTATTTATTGATCTATTTATGAAAGTATCTCTCTCTTCTTTTAGAGCATCTCCATCGGCTCTATTTTCCCAATTTCATTATGACGTGTATGGAGGTGTGCAATGGCAAACTTAATTTCATTGATGTGGGAAGTGGTGTAACTGATGCAAGCTTTCATATTATGAAAGTCCATTTGCAATGCCAACATGGAGAATGGTGGGTCGGATCTGGTTTTTTATGCCATTTAAATAAATTGGAATATATTTTGAATGTATTATATTTTTATATGCAATTGC